TATTACTTGTGGTTCCTCACGCGGTAAAGATAATTTTTTTTCTACTAAATAAGTGCGTTGTCCAAGTAAAGAACCATCTAAGAAGCTGTAACCTTTCACGTATGAAGGTCACCGAATATGATCTAATTTTGGCTAGGGCGGGAAAGTTTAATCGTTCGCATGAATAAGTAGAAAAGATGCACAGGAAAAAATAACGGATTCCCATTTTCGGATGTTTTAGGGTATTTAAAGAATACCCATAAAAATCCCAAATTTGGCAAAGAGAGACAAGTCCCAACTAGGGAATTCCCAACCAAGTTCCCTGATTGGGACTTGTCTCACTCTTCCAAATTTGGGATTTTTTTGGGTATTCTTTAAATACCCTAAAATATCCAAAAATGGGAATCCGTTATTTTTTCCTGTGATGGAGGTTTGCCTTGCCTGTAGGCACAGTTTCGATATAATTATACTGGTGGCCATGAAGGAAAAAAGATTGCCCTTCACTGTAAAAACCAATTAACTTGTAAATGGAGCATTCAAGAAATCCGCGAGATTTTTGTTACCCTTGTTCTTGTGAGGTCACGTAAGTATTTTTGTAACTCCTGTCCTTTTTTTTATCAAAGAACTGGTTGAGCATACTGGTTAAGGATAAAAAGGAAAATTCAAATTTTGCTTCGTTTTGTACGTCAAGTAGTCAGAGGAGTCGCGTGTCACGCAATGTTTACTACGTATGACTATCCCTTAGGCCTTAAAGCAATTTACCTAACATTTCTAAAATAAATATAAACAAATAAAAGAAAATAAATATAGAAATAAAGAAACGTGTTCAGTATAAAACAAAACAGATCGTTTCTAAGAACATAGAATTATTTCATAAATGGAACTGGTTGATGTAAAAGCTTAATTGCATTTTTTCATGTCTAGCGTTTATTTAGCTGTAGTAATTCAATTAACATTCTGTGAGTGTATTAAAGCAAATCAAGAGCCTGAATATCTATATCTGCCAGGCTTGATGTTCTAACATAACATAACATAACATTTTATGACATCTAAATTGTATTTCATTTCAATGCAATTGTGAAAATTCCGTGTTATTTGCTTTGTGTGAGAAATATAAAACTGCTCTTATTTAGTAAGCTGAAAATGCATAAACTTCTCAGTTAAAGAAATCCTCTTTATTTGAACCATGTGGTAGATTCTATTTTTCGTAGCTGTGAAAACGTGTTGTATTTATTTAGGCTCTCACCCTTACAAAGAAGATTATAAAGTATCAAGAATAAGTCATAAAGGGTGTCAAGGGGCATTTACCCAGCCCTCTTGCAAAGTTTTCCAGTGTTCCATCATTGAAGATTTTCAGAGTCGTATCATCGAATGAACTTCATACCAAAATAGTGAGGCCACTAAGCGCAGTTTAGATTTTTGCATGACGTAAAAAAAAACTGTCTGCCTAATAACCTATTTGCCTTTTGAAGGCAACCTCATGTGAGGGACTTAATGTTTCAATTCAGATTGTTGAAATGTTTTCCACAGCAAAGAAAGTTTTCTTAAAACGCACAGTATATAAGAGCTGGGACAGCAGTGGGCGGGGCGGAGGGGGAGTCAGTGCTTGTGGTAAACAGAATATACCGTAGTCATTTCTAGATATGTAATCTAAACGGGGCAGAGCGTCAGCTGTTCCAGAAAGGTCATTCTCAGGATATTCAAAGACATTCAAAAGTCGATTTCTTGGAGTGCAAAGAAGAGACAGCCTGCAGGTAATATTATTATTAGGCCAAGATGGTTCTTTTCTCACTGAGCCCGAAAATCACACTTAGAAAGGAAAAGACGAGGAAAAATAGCGAGAGCAAGGAAAATAATATAAGCTTAAAATGACGTATTGACACTTCACATTTGCACTGTTCAGCTGTTCTTGAATTATAGTTTATCAGTTTCAGATATCTCCTCTTTAGAAGTAAAATATTTAAATTGAGACATCTTTCAACAACAGCAATAGTTTAGATAGGGAATCCCCCTAGTGCCTAGAGCAGGCTAAGAAGACTTCTGAGACTTCCTGCTTAATATTCTATAATTTAAAAAAAAAGAGATACAAAAAGATATTGTAAATGCGAAATGATTTTCCACAAATAACAAAAGGAAAAGGGTCGCGAATTCCGACCGTTGATCTGGTTTGTTTTTTCAGTTTGTTTGTGGCTCGCAATGAGAAAGCATAGAGACTGTTCGAAAGCAATCCTTAGAATAAAAAGAGGTCGTAGATGTGTATAGATATAGATTTGTATAGGTATTGCTCAGTAAACTTCCAGTTCAGTTCAACATATGTATGGCCTAACCTGGCAGATGCATGAATCTGGCATACTTGCGAACATACTTTCCCTTCCTCGTTTTTGAATATTGTTTGTAGATCTTCCAAAGTATTTATCGTCATCAAGGCCACTAAAGCTGGAGGAAAGCCCTGCCATTTTATGAGGTAAGATTTTATTTGTAGGGAAATTCCCCGATACGTATTAAGGTCCAAAGGTTATATTACGCAACCTTATCAATCTTCCTGGGTTCCTTTGACCTCAGAATAGCAGACCTCGAAAACACTGACCTTGAAAACGTAGTTTGTGTATTACTCGAAAAACCTCAGGAATCTTGGCACTGCTCCTTTGTAAACCATTTTGTTCGTGTTTTTTCCCAGGTCATGTCAGCCATTATGTTACGAATTTGCTGGGCTTATGAGTCACGTGAGAACACAAACTTCAGTTTCAACAGTGGTCTTCCACGCTTCGTATTTACTATTTTGAAGCCCGACGGGGCTACCTTTGCAATTTCTTTAGTTTTTGACCGGCCTATGTTGCAGACAATGACTTATTTTTCAGGGGTTTTGCTTTTGCTTTTGATGGGAGCCCACGAAGCAAAAGACAACATTTCCGGTGGCATGTACATTTATCAAAGTCCCTAACAGGTGAGCCAAAATTTTCACTAAAATGCCTCAACAGCATAAAAATAGTATTCTGAAGCTGGTGGTAGGTTGTTGTACTTGGTTTTAGGTCATTTTATTTTTGTAGTATTTACGTTCATCAGATCTGTCATTTTTCCCGCAAATATAATTGAAACCAGATCTGTCATGTCTTCACGTACTGGTCCATTTGATCACAGTGAGAGATGCTCGTTGTGAATGAAACCGCTCTGTACCAGAGGTTTTTTCTCACGGTCGCTCGTGCTGGTGGCATTAAATCTTTGGAGGACCATCAACAACTGTTTATACCAAACAAAATATGGTTGCTATTTAGCTTTGCTCACTTGAGTTAAAATAAATGTGCTGTGGCTATATGGGCAGTAACCGGTCAAGGTTTTAACAACATTAAATGACCGGAAGTCTGATATTTTTTGTAAAAATTATGAAATCGAAGAGTTCTAGCTAATTCAAACCATCATATGTTAATTAGGAAATGTCAAGCGATCCTAAAATGATTTATGGATGTCAAGTCCAACGCCGGTCAACGTGTTAAAAACACTAAATGACCGGCAGTTCAATATTTTTTAAAAAAATTATCAAATCGAAGAATTCCAGTCAATCCAAACTGTCAAAGATCAACCATCACAGCAACCGGTTTTGTAGGATTTCTCCACCATTTCTACTGTTGTACTGTCTTGGTCATGAGTCGAGAGATGTTTGTGACAATGTTATGCAAAGTAAGGCGTGACAAGTGTTGCAAAACATGGTTTCATCCTCCGGGACTAGCATAAACAAAGTGCTGGACTAAAATTAAATCATTTCAGGATTGCTTGACTTTTCCTAATCGACATACGATGGTTTGGATTAGCTGGAATTCTTTGATTTGATAATTTTTAAAAAAATTATCGCACTGTGGTCATTTAGTGCTTTTAACACGAAGATTAGGTTTCACCCAGTTTAGGTTGGGAAACAATTGAAAGAGATTAATTTCAAAAGCGATCAGTTCACTCCAGGGTTTAAGGAGAGGGTATTCCCTATTTTTTTGTTTTATATCGATCCCCTTCCCCGTTCCCAGGCCGTGTTCAGATGCATTGTAGTATTAAATATCCTAGACTAGACACTTGCCCAATCTCAGACCTTTTCAATACTCTGTACTTGGTGAAAAAGAAAGATTTTTTTAAAAAGCAGTTATTCTGTTAAATCTCACCTTAGGATTGTAATGATTCTGATAGTAAGCCACGGCTTCCTGTCGATGTCCCACCTTGTTCCTCGGTAAGTGACTATAATTATTATGGCAACTGGTCTATCGCTTCCCTTCAGTATTCATTTACAGTGGAATGCCGATTTTACGATTGTTAATTTAACGATATTTCTGATTTAATGATCAACAATCTGTGTCCCAGCCAAAGTTATAATTTGGCAGCAACATGTAGATGTGCAGAAGTGCTTATTGAGAAGTGCAAGATTTGAAGGGAAATTCTCAAGTTTTGTAATCAAATCGGACGGCTTGTTGCTGTTAGATAAAAGCAGGGGCACCCAGCGATTATTTTCGGTAAAAATCAGTTTAGAAGCAAGTTGAGCTAGACTTTTTGAATAATCGAACACACAGGCCCTCGCATTTTCGAATCATGTATCTGAATAGATTTTCAGCCCCTAAAACACCACCTAAAAGACTCGCAACAAGGCAAAAGTAGTACCTTACGTTTTCGGAAATGATATATTTGCAATTTTTGGCTCTCAAAAAGGACACCTAGCAATTTCGGAAGAGCAAATGACTCGTTTGGGAAGTTTCTAGAATGTGACGTCCAGCTAGTTATTTTTGAAATGAAGATATCATTCCATAAAATTTTCGAACACTTCATATTTTAGCTAAGATATCCGAACAGATCAAATTCGTCCAAGTGATAAAAACATCTCTTTAGATAGTCTTTAAACATTACAAGGAGCCTAGAAATGTTTCTTGTAGGCTCTTGGCTCGAACTGCTCGTTGGGTGCCACTGATAAAAGGTATAATCAAACCTGTTTTTGAAATAGAATATATTGTCTATCTTTACATAGCAAGAGAGAAGGAACAAAGCCGACAATGAACAATGAAAATACTGAAAATAGTGTGGAAGGTGATCACCAAAGTTGGATCAACATTCTACGAAATCCGGAAGATTTCAACTTAAAACAGAAACCCTTCGGAATAAGCGAAAATAAAATGTTCACTCTGGATATGAGAGAAATTCCAATATCATCTGCCAAAGCTGATGACAATGGAACATATATTTCCAAAGGCAGTGTTACAAAGTTCTATATGTACAATGAGGAGGGGTCGTGCACATCTCACAAAGATGGAAATGGCGTATGGTATGTCAATATACCAGACTCTAAAAATTACAGGAAGGAAATCGTTCCAGCAAACGAAATATATGAGTTGAAACGGGAGTGCCACACAAGTAAGAGCAATCCTAAGTTCTCCCAGCTATCACCACAATTAAAGGTTATGCTGAAAAAGAACCAAGGCCCTTTTATGTTGTCACGTACAAATGGGCACATGGGGCGGATCAACGCTTCGACCTTCCTTGGCATGGGAATGCTACCAAACCAACCAGTGGCCAATACTACAGCAAAGATCCCAGTCTTTTCTCAAAGGTCGATAATGTGATCAGTAAGGGATTATCAACGGATCAAGTTTATAACTCCATTGCCAGAGCTGGAGCTAGTACGGTTAGTGAAGCTATACCTGGTCCCAAGTTAATTGACAACAGAAAGCTGTTATCAAAGAAAGAAACTTCGACTAGTTCCAGTAGCAAGAAACAATTCAAAAGTGAAGCAGAGGAGATGATTTCCTGCCTACAATCGGTTCCTTTCCTCCAAAGTGCAACTTTCACCAAAGAAAGTTATGTCACTTTCAACAGTCTCTCCAACATGATCAATGACTTGTACTGCTTCTGCATAGATGAGTACTCTATTCTACTCTGAGTAGACACTACATCTGAACTTGTCAAAGGGCTCTGGCTCACTGACACGACGTACACAAACGAACCCTAATCGATTTAAAGGGGAAAAATCCAGAGTTCCCTGGGCCAAGCTTTTGGCATTTTCGTAAGACCAGAGAATGCTATCAAAGATTTGCAGGCGAGATTGTCATTAAGAAGCCAGAGCTGCTCAAAATTAAAAAGATCGGCCATGACTTAGATAAAGCCTCATCTCAAGGACTGCGTGACGTTTTCAAGGAAGCTAAAAGGGTCTGGTACACTCAACACACTCAAGACCGTGATGTCCACAAGCTCAAAACTCTTGGGTGTACCCAGCGTTCCCAGCCAAGGGTGATGTCTGATATATACGGGACGCAAGATGCAGTTCTTTTACAGAATGGTTTTGCAGACGAAGAGGACGAATGCAATTTTGATGCTAAACTGGAAAGCTTGAAGCCAGTATAGGAAGAAATAGCCCCAGGTCTCCACCATTGGTTCAAAAGCAACAGATCTAAGCTGTTCAAGATTGCCTCGTTCTTTCTGCAAGAGAAAATCTCGGCATTGAAGGCAGATTTTACACGAATGGCCTCGAATTAAAACACAAGGTTCAGAAGAAGAGAATGGCCGAAGAGGACGTCCCCAAAGAGATCGCAGCCGTTTTCTGCCCAGTTGTTCACATGGGTAGAGGAGTTTTACTTGGAAGAAGAGAGGGCAATACAAGGCCTCGGGAACTACCGTCTTACTCCCGGCTATGACCATTTTCAAGTCGATGCCGTAAAGTGGAACAGATGGGGCCCAGCAAGGCAGGCACTGTAATGAATTAAGCCGCTAAGTATGCTGGGATAGAAAAACCATGTGCTTTTGATAGCGGCGGCCATGTTACGTTTGCAATGAAATTGGTTGAGTTAAATCTGTTTCTTTAGATACTTTATTACTCTTGGGATCACTACATTGGCGATGAGGACAAAGAAATGGAAAAGAACGTCTTACCGAAGTTTGATTGTTTCTCTGATCCAGTGACGATTGGCCCTCAATGGAAAAGGTGGTTAACTTCATTCGAACTGTATGCTAACGGAAAAGGGCTTATTATAAGTGAAGGAACCACAGCAGTAACTAAACAGAGGCGAAGAGCAATGTTACTCCACCTGGCTGGGCCTGATGTACAGGAGATGTTTACCACCTTAACTGAAACCGGGGTGCTACAAATTACGCTCTCAACGCCTATTTCGTGCCACAGGTAAATTCAGCGTTCGTTCGCCAGACCTATCATCGGATCACGCAAATCCAGGTGAGACAATTCAACAGTTTGTCACTCGCTTAAGGAAAGCAGCAAAAGATTGTGATTTTGGCACTGATCCCGACAACCAAATAAGATATGCAGTTTTGAATAAGTGCACTTCAACTTACATCAAACGAAAATTGCTTGAAGAAGGCCAAGGACTGAACTTAACACGCACCCTAGAGGTTGCAGCAAAGTGCGAAAAGATAGAAACCCAACTGGCTGCCCTTTCAGTGAAGGGGGAAGAATCAGAAAGTATCAATAGAATCAATGAGAGAAGTAACAATCCGAGTACTAGCACACAAGGGCGATTCCAAGGGAGAGATAAGATGTTATAGATGTGGTTTATTGGGACATTTCAGTCGTGATCCCCAGTGCCCAGCAAGAGGCAAAACATGTAGAAAGTGTCGCGGGAAAGATCATTTTGAAAAAGTTTGCAAGACAAAGTCATATGCTCGTCAGGTTGGGAGGGAACCCGATGACAATGACCCTGGACCCCAGCATGACTATGCATTCAGTATTACAGAAGGAGAACACTCAGAAATCGTCACTGTACAAGTAGGAGGAGTAGACTTTAAGATGTTAATAGACTCTGGGGCAAACAGCAACATTATTGACGAGGGGACTTGGGAACAGCTTAAGGTGAAGGGAGTGAAATGTGAATCACAAGCTGCTACCCCAGACAAGAAGCTGTACCCATATGCGTCTAGTCAACCACTGCCAGTTAAGGGTAGTTTTAAGTGTACAGTGAGTGTTTGTGATAGATCCACCAAAGCTGAGGTCTTGGTAATTAAAGGTAGAGGGATGTCTCTGCTTGGAAAGATAACAGCCACAGAACTGGGAGTGTTAAAAGTTGGCCTTAACATTGCTGTGGTAACAAGTAAAGCTGATAGTTTAAAACAGCAGTACCCAGAGGTATTTGAGGTGTCAGAAAATTGAAAAACAAACAGATATCCCTGGATATAGACCCCACTGTAAAACCTATTGCACAGCCTTATAGAAGGATACCATTTAATCGGAGAGGAAAGATCCGAGATAAGACCACAGAACTGTTGGACATGGGAATAACTGAACCAGTGGAGGGCCCAGCCCCCTGGGTCAACCCTGTGGTGATCGTCCCAAAGAACAACGCGGAAATCCGCCTATGCGTGGACATGAGACAGGCAAACCAAGCAATCATGCGAAGACAATATCCAATTCCCACAGTTGACGAGGTGTTACATACCATGAATGGTTCTAAGGTCTTCGGTAAATTAGACCTCAAAAGGGGGTACCACCAGTTGGAATTGAGTCCAGAATCCAGGGAAACCACAACCTTTGCTACACCTGATGGTTTGTTTCGATATAAGTGCTTGCTCTTTGGTGTCTGTTCTGCCAGTGAACAATATCAGCATGAAATTGCTTCAGCCCTGGCAGGTATTGAAGGTGTCGAAAACATTTCGGATGACATTGTGGTGCATGGTCCCAACACAGAAACACACAACAGGCGACTCCACCAAACTATAGAGTGTCTGCAAGACTGCGTTCTCGCTTTAAATGCTGAGAAATGTTTGTTCAATACGGACAGGCTGGTGTTTATGGGTATGCTGCTTTCAGAGAAAGGCATTGGTCCTACAGCAGATCGTGTTAAAGCAGTATTAGAGGTGGAAGAACCAAAGAGTGTGTCAGATGTACATAGCTTTCTGGGTTTAGCCAACTACAGTAGCCGGTTCATACCTCACTTTGCCACTTTATCTAAACCACTGCGAAGGCTGACAAGGAAAGAGACACCCTTTGAATTTGGACCAGAGCAGAAGTCCTTTAAATGTCTCAAACAGAAGATGGCAGAAGCTTGCACTTTGGCATATTTTGATAAGAATGCACCCACCCAGATAATCGCGGACGCCAGTCCAGTGGGGCTGGGCGCTGTTCTCATACAGGAGCAGGACAGTGCATGGACACCGGTATGTTATGCGAGTGGTAGTTTGACCGGATGTGAGCAGAGATATTACCAGACAGAGAAGGAGGCACTAGGCGTGGTGTGGGCATGTGAGAGATTCCATGTCTATGTGTATGGAATGAAGTTTGTCGTAGAGACCAACCACAAGCCTTTAAAGGTCATATATGGTCCACAGTCAAGACCATGTGCACGGATAGAGCGATGGGTCCTGAGATTACAGCCATATGATTTCAGTGTGATACACAGGCCTGGACGCGAGAACATTGCTGATCCATTGTCGCGACTACTTCATAGGAGGGTTGAACCTGACAACCACCGGTGGTGTACTGAAGAACATGTTAGGTTTGTTGCTGTGAGTGCAACACCAACGGCCTTCACAACCTGTGAGATAGAAGAGGCCTCTGATGATGATGAAGAGCTGAAACAAGTGGGGAAAGCTATTGCAACGGGGCGGTTTGAAAAGTGTAGACAATATATGACAGTGGCGGGGGAGTTGTGTGTCATTGGTCAGCTCGTGCTTGGAGGTACACGCATTATTATTCCTCGTAAGCTGCAGCCAAGGACCTTAGCACTTGCTCATGAAGGCCACTTGGGCGTGGTTGGCACCAAACAGAACCTCAGAACCAAGGTGTGGTGGCCAGGGATGGATAAAGCGGCTGAGAGACATTGCCGAGCATGCCATGGGTGTCAGCTGGTGGCACAGCCAGATCCCCCTGAACCTATTCGATCTACCTCATTACCCGATGGACCATGGCAAGACTTGGCAGTAGATTTAATGGGACCACTACCATCCGGACATTCACTATTAGTTATTGTTAATTACTACAGCCAATTTTACGAATTGGAGGTTATGCAGGAAGCCACTTTAAAGTGGTAACAGACCACAATCCCCTGTTGCACATCTTCACCACTCCTACTTCCCAAGCTTCAGTAAAGATTGACAACTGGCGTCTGAAGTTGCAGCCATTTGATTTCGAAGTTCTGTACTCAGGAGGGGATTTAAGTACAGCTGATTACATATCAAGACACCTTCAAGCTGCCACGCGGTGTGACCTGATTGCTGAGTCTGCAGAGCAGTATGTTAACTTTGTCATGACACAAGCAACACCCAAGGCACTGAGCAAAGATGATATTATCAAGGCTACGGCACAAGATGCCACTATACAGGAAGTGATGCGTCTTACCTTAAATGGCCAGAGGAACAACCTGAAGCCAGTGAATGGAGTTATCCAAGTACCCTTAAGATTTTT